TAATGTGGGAAAATACGATAAAGATATTATATACCTAATAATTCATGGAATTACTGCTGCAAGATTGGCCTATGCGCAACAGTGGAAGTGTAAAGAAACTCCAAGTAAAATAGAAGTAATTAGAAAAATTTGGATGTGTACAGAAATGGACAAATTGACAAAAGAATTAAAAAATAAGGATGAATTGGATTATTACAAAGTATAGGATAAGTTTTATTGTTGGATAGAAAAGAGGAAGGATCATGATAATATGAAATGATTATATGTATATACTACACTGCTCAAAAAAATAAAGGGAACACAAAAATAAGACATCCTAGATCTGAATGAATGAAATATTCTTATTAAATACTTTGTTCATTACATAGTTGAATGTGCTGACAACAAAATCACACAAAAATTATCAATGGAAATCAAATTTAGCAACCCATGGAGGTCTGGATTTGGAGTTACACTCAAAATTAAAGTGGAAAAAAACACTACAGGCTGATCCAACTTTGTTGTAATGTCCTTAAAACAAGTCAAAATGAGGCTCAGTAGTGTGTGTGGCCTCCACGTGCCTGTATGACCTTCCTACAATGCCTGGGCATGCTCCTGATGAGGTGGCGGATGGTCTCCTGAGGGATCTCCTCCCACACCTGGACTAAAGCATCCCCCAACTCCTAGACAGTCTGTGGTGCAATGTGGCGTTGGTGGATGGAGCGAGACATGATGTCCCAGATGTGCTCAATTGGATTCAGGTCTGGGGAACGGGCGGGCCAGTTCATAGCATCAATGCCTTCGTCTTGCAGAAACTGCTGACACACTCCAGCCACGTGAGGTCTAGCATCGTCTTGCATTAGGAGGAACCTAGGGCCAACCGCACCAGCATATGGTCTCACAAGGGGTCTGAGGATCTCATCCCAGTACCTAATGGCAGTCAGGCTACCTCTGGCAAGCACATGGAGGGCTGTGCAGCCCCCTAAAGAAATGCCACCCCACACCATTACTGACCCACTGCCAAACCGGTCATGCTGGAGGATATTGCAGGCAGCAGAACGTTCTCCACGGCATCTCCAGATCCTGTCACGTCTGCCACATGTGCTCAGTGTGAACCTGCTTTCATCTGTGAAGAGCACAGGGCGCCAGTGGCGAATTTGCCAATCTTGGTGTTCTCTGGCAAATGCCAAACATCCTGCACAGTGTTGGGCTGAAAGCACAACCCCCACCTGTGGATGTCGGGCCCTCATACCACCCTCATGGAGTCTGTTTCTGATCGTTTGAGTAGCCACATGCACATTTGTGGCTCGCTGGAGGTCATTTTGCAGGACTCTGGCAGTGCTCCTCCTGTCCCTCCTTGCACAAAGGCGGAGGTAGCGGTCCTGATGCTGGGTTGTTGCCCTCCTACAGCCTCCTCCACGTCTCCTGATGTACTGGCCTGTCTCCTGGTAGCACCTCCTTGCTCTGGACACTACGCTGACAGACACAGCAAACCTTTTTGCCACAGCTCGCATTGATGTGCCATCCTGGATGAGCTGCACTACCTGAGTCACTTGTGTGGGTTGTTGACTCCGTCTCATGCTACGACTAGAGTGAAAGTACCACCAGCATTCAAAAGTGACCAAACCATCAGCCAGAAAGCATAGCAACTGAGAAGTGGGCTGCGGTCACCACCTGCAGAACCACTCCTTTATTGGGGATGTCTTGCTAACTGCCTATGCTTTCCACCTGTTGTCTATTCCATTTGCACAACAGCATGTGAAATTGATTGTCAATCAGTATTGCTACCTAAGTGGACAGTTTGATTTCACAGAAGTGTGATTGACTTGGAATTACATTGTGTTGTTTAAGTGTTCCCTTTATTTTTTTGAGCAGTGTCTATACTATATATATAGAATGTAAATATGTACTATTTTTATATGTGACTTACCAATGTAAGACAACTATGTGGTTAGGAGGATTGCACCATGTTCATTGTTTTTAATGTTCTTTTCTTTTTTTGTGTTTGTCTAATAAAAATAAAAAGGAACAACCATGTTACTAACCTAACAACTGCAGTGATTCACTTAACAATTGTGGCAAAAACAATTTTAAAATGAGGCAAAACTAACTTCACAAATGTTTCGATCAGCAAGATAAATTTTAGGATCCATTGTGATCGTAAATGAAGGACGATCTATATTTCTGAATTAACAGAATTATGCAAGGAAGAATAGAGATGGGTTCCAAATGCAAGAATAGAAAAAAAAGTTAAACTGTTAACAGAAAATATTTGAAAGCTCTTGTTTCTGCCAAAAGTTTCCACTTATCAAAGGGCAATAAAAAGGTGACAATACAGGCCAAACGAGATGGTCTCCAAATAGCAAAAATCTATTTTCCACTGATTTTGAAATAAATAATAATTTTAATCAAGGTAACTATGACAATGAAATGGGTAAAATCTACCTTCCTTCATTACAGATAGTCCTCAACTTATGATCACAATTGAGCCCAAAATTTCTGTTGCTAAGTGAGACAGTTAAGTGAATTTTGCCCCATTTTGCCCAGTTGTTAAGTGAATCATTGCAGTTGATAAGTTAGTAATCTGGTTGTTCAGTGAATCTGTTTTCCCTGTTGACTTTGCCTGTCGGAAGGTCGCAAAAGGGGATCACATGACCCCAGGACATTGCAACTGTCATAAATTTGAGCCAATTGCCAAGCGTCTGAATTTTGATCAGGTGATCGTGGGAATGCTACATACCGTCCATACCTTTCCCAGCAGTCGCCACGTGGAGGCGTCCAAACTGTGTTAACTATGTCTTTAAGGAGTGGTGCAGTGGCCTAGAGGTGGAGCTCTTGCCTCACAATCAGAAGGCTGTGAGTTTGATCCTACATAGAGGAAGATATATCTCTCTCTGGGGACACTGAGAATGTCAGAATTCCGGCAGTTACTCCAATTAAATCATGAGCCTCGAGCCACACTCCCAAAACTAAAAAAAAGATTTATTTGAACATTCTATGTCCGGCATTTACCTGGGCGTCACCCTTGATCCTGCTTTCCCCCCCACCCCTCTGGGTGTATCATCCAACAAAAAACGTCCATAGTCAAAAGTCATCAATCATGCTCTCCAATTAGATTTTTTCACAGCAGAAGCTTCAGTCATCTAATCTGTCTTTGAAGAAAATATGAATGGAATGTACTTTCGATTCCACTTTGCCGTCTGCTCTCTGAAACTCCCCCACTTCTATCTGTTGTCAACTATAAAACATGTATACAAAATGTTTTATGAGTTGATAGAGAATATATCTGCTGAACAAAACTCTGCATTGGTGATAGGAAGGGCATCCAGACATTAAAACACTCTGCTAGCTCCATTCAGTTGCTGAGGCTCCACTCCACAAGGGATTATCAGGTTATTAAATGAAGAAGATGATGATGATGATGGGAATGCTACAACGGTTGTGTGAAAAACAGCCATAAATCACTTTTTTCAGTGCTGTTGTAACTTTGAAGGGTCACTAAATGAACAATTGTAATTCGGGGACTACTTGTACACAGCTCAGACTGGAAGAGTATTCAAACTTCGGCACCTGCCATATTCATCATTCTCTTACTTAGATACGACAAACAATATGCATTTAGATTTGCAGAAGGATGTTGTGTTTAATTGTCCCTGATGTAGAGATTATGTCAGCCTCTATTCATTTAGTGAATAAGAGAAGGGATTTCTTGCCAGATCTTACAGTTGAAATCATCAAGTTGAAATGCCACATGGTGTTTTTCATTACATTCCTTGAATTATCCAATTCACCTTTAAAATAAAGCTCTCTGGTTTTCTATCCATCACCGTATATGTTTTGCTGGAATTTCCATAATTTACATATCTCCTCTGAGAGAGAGGAGTAAAAGCACAGGGCCATGATATGATATGACGGCAGCATCTGTGCTTTTACAGACACCCAGAAACGAAAAGCTACAGTCGTAGTGTTCTCATTGGAATACATTATCCCCGAATGAGGTCGTAATTTAATGCAGATGCGCTGGCATAAAACAATTTACTCCTACACTTTGATTGAAAATAATTTATTGTCAAGTCACCTCCTATCACTATCCTTTGCACTCTGCCAGATGAGGGATGTTTCCTTAAGCTTTGTTCAATTGCGATCTACCCACTCTGGAGCAAATGGAAAGATGATACTGACATAAAAGATGATGTTACAATTGGCCATCTTTATTTTGCTTCAAGAATATCTGTTGCTGCTGGCGATTATATCTGGATTCCACGTGTCTAGAGTACAACCAGAACTGGGAATAGCATTTCTGCTTCTAAGCGAGGCAATAACAATAGCACTTACACTTACCGTATTTTTCGGAGTATAAGATGCCCTTTTTCCACCCCCCCAAAAAGTGGGTGGAAATGTCTGTGCATCTTATACAGTCAATGTTGCCGAAGCCCCGTCCATCCGCTGGCCCCCACCCTTCGGCCTCTGCCTCCCAGCCATTTGCCTCCTTGCAGCAAACAGCAAAAAGCCTGTTTCAGTTTCAGCACATCCTGATTAGCACAAGCAGCTGGTTGTCGGTTGGATTGGCCTCCCAACGATCAGCTGTTTCAGGCTGCAGTGATTGCCATTGCCTATTGCCGCCTTCGCGTGTCCCATTTTTGGCCTCTGCATCCTGTTTTTGGCCTCTGCGCCCTCTGTTTTTGGCCTCCCATTTTCCCATTTTCCACTCATTTCAATCCCTGCTGCCCGTAACGGGCCGAAAATGGGGCACACGAAGGCCGAAAATGGGGTGTATGGAGGCTGAAAACAGGATGTGGAGGCTGAAAATGGGGTGTACAGAGGTGGCAATAAGTTGTGTCCCTTGAGTTGTGATTTGGGTTGCAAATCCCATGGGTTGTGATTTCTCCCCCACCAGTAATCTGGTCAAAGTTTTCCATCTTTCTAAAACCCGATGCTCCCAAGTTCATTACCATAACTTTTGCCTGCTCCAAAGGTGTGTGCACCTGTTTGGTGGGGTGGAGAGTGCCGCTGTTCCTCACCTTGAAGTCCAAGTTGGCGCTTTCATACGGCGTTCCTTTGCTCTCCGAGCAGCCGCTAACTTTCACTGGAAAGGAAGGCAGAAGAGATAAGGATTAATCAGGCGGCTGTTATTAGCATCATTAGTGTTATCAGTATGCTTATTAAGAGATCAGTGTGCAAAATTCTGAAAGGAGGAGCATAAGCAGGAAGGAAAAAAATAAAAACCTACATCGGTCCCTCCTGTGAGAATTTACAACCTACATTTTGACATTAGAGGAGAGAAGAGGACGGCAGATGGATATGAGCTCTGTATTTGCTTTCCACTGGATATGAGAATTTAATAATAAGCTATTTTTCACACATTCTAGCACAGAACTAGATTGGGTAGGAGAGAAAGGTCACCAAACACCTGAGTCCCGTAGATCCTCAGATCCTAAATATTTTTTTTTTATTTTTGCACTCAGCAAAATATTGATATGGAGAGTAACTCTTGTTATAAGGTAGTCCTCGACTTACAACAGTTCATTTAGTGACCATTCAAAGTTACAAGGGCACTGAAAAATGTGACGTATGACTGTTTTTCACACTTACAACCATTCCATGGTCATGATCAAAACTTAGGTGCTTGGTAACTGACTCACATTTATGACAGTTGCAGTGTCCTGGGGTCATGGGATCCCCTTTTGTGACCTTCTGACAAGCAAAGTCAATGGGGAAGCTCAGATTTCCTTAATAATCGTGCTAGTAACTTAACAACTTCAGTGATTCACTTAATAACTGTGGCAGGAATGGTTGTAAAATGGGACAAAACTCACTTAACAACTACCTCGCTTAGTAACAGAAATTTGGGACTCAACTGTGGTCATAAATCAAGGACTACCTGTGTTAATCTCAAATGCAATCCCTCGTTGCAGGGGCAAATTCTGCTGTTTTGGATTTGCAATCACCGTATAATATTAAGACTTCTTCAAATATCATTACAAAATGCATGAATGGGGGAAAAATTAGAAAAAAGGGCCTCGCATTAATGCCCAAGTCCATGTTATCCTGCTCAGTTCTATATGTGTAAAGAGAGCTTTAGATTGAGATTGTTGTTATAATTAGAGCAGGGTGTGATATATTTCACATACTGATTAGATTTTATGAAACTAATTTGTACAGCCATCCAACTCACTTGCATTGACTCTGATGGCTTACAACAGTAAAATATCACAGTGTAAAAACCTATAATACCCTCACCCTGTCCCAGTACTAGTGAATATTTACTACACAATTTTACTGTAAATGGCTGCCCAACTCACACACAAGCAACATGGTAAAGAAAGAAAGTATCTGTCTCTTACTCTTGATTTAAACATAGGAAAGATATGTCCGTGTACTGTGTTTCCCTGAAAATATGACCTACGCCGAAAACAAGCCCTAGCCTGGTTTTCACGCCTGTGCCTAATATAAGCCCTACCCCCAAACTAAGCCTTATTTAAGCCCCGCCCATCATCTGGTTGTACGAGATGGGGCGAGGTGCGTGTATAAAAATCAAGCTAAGGCAGCGGTGTGGGGGATGGAGCTGCTCCACGTTCCTCGCACCCGCTTACCTTAGGACTGCCATAGCCAGGCTTCCCATGCCCTGATACCTGTCACACCACTGCCTGAATTCTTCTGCAGCCACTTGCAACCGGAAGCCATGTGGCACGTCATGCTGATGCTGCCACTAGCGGCAGGATGTTGTGTGGCATTTCATGCCAGTGCTGCCACTCGTGCACGCCATGTACAACGCATCATGCAGCCTGCTGCCACGAGTGGCAGTTCTGGTGTGACAAGCCATGTGGCATCTGAGTGCGAGCAACTGCAAGTGTCCACAGAAGAACAAGTGTCAGGGCATGTGAGGCCTGGCTGCGGTGGTCCTAAGGTACGCGGGTAAGACATTCCCCAAAAATAAGACCTGATGCTTATTTTGGGGGCCCAAAGAAAATAAGACTGGGTCTTATTTTGGGAAGAACATGGTATGCGTTTGGGGTCCTTGGTACTTTCTGAGTTCGGTTGTTTTCTCTCTCAGGAAATCCCACTACTGTCAACTCATAAAATATTTCTCTGGTCTTTTTAGAGTTGCCAACAGAAAGGGAGGAGGGAGCAGTGCAGCAGCTTGCAAAAACCAAAACTGCATTCCATAAATGTTTTCAAAGATAGTTAACTAGGTGACCGAAGTTTCTGCCGCACAAAATTCTAACTGGAGAGCCTGATTCTTGGCTATGGATGTGTCCCATTGGAGAATATGAATTACAATACACCCAGGCAATGCCGGCATGTTAACTCCCAATAAATCCTTTTTAAGTTTTGGAAGTTTGGCTTGAGACTCATGATTTAAATGGGGGTGACTGGTGGAATCCTGACAGCTACCTTCTAGCCTTGATGATATTATCTAGTTGGGTAATGCAATGTCTCTGAAAAAACAACCAAGCTCAGAGAAAAACAAGAACCCCACGGTTTAACCCCAAGCTACAAATATTCTCTTCCATTGATCTATGCGTGCCTATGTGTTATGCAATCCCACTGCTATCTTTGGCATGGCCCACCATTAAGCCATTTTTTAAAAACGTTTAAGCAATTCTCAGTATCAACCAGACTGCCTATTTCTGGCTTAGATTATGAAGAGGTAAATCCAATTCCCAACATGCTATTCAACAAAATGCTTACTGGATTATTTTGACAAGCGACAATGAAACAGATGCCCTGCCTCTGGGCAGCTGAGAGGCAGCTGATTAGCCACTCAGGAAAACAAATAAATGAATTAGGTAGTTCTTTGATCATAGGCAGCATGGCTCTGAGTTTCAATACTTTGTGCACTGAAAACAGTTCTTAAGTCAAGGAACTCCTAAACAGGGAGGAAAAAAAAACCCCCTAATTTCTGCTGCCATGAGTTCTTTGGGAGAAAAAACTAGATAAGTTTTTGACAGTTAATTTTATGCTCCTGGATCCTACTTTATTCAGAGCAGACTTCCCTTTGGAGGCTCTTCTGTTTAGAAACTGTCAAAAGAGGACCTTTTAAGTGGAAAGATGGTTTAAAGGGAAAATGTTTGAAACAGGCATAAGAAAGAAAGAAAGAAAGAAAGAAAGAAAGAAAGAAAGAAAGAAAG